CATTTTGGGGCACTTCCCCACCTAATTGGGGTGGCCACCGTGGTCGATTTTGGATCGATTTTGAGGCTGATGTAGCAGGTGGCAATTGGGTGACGGTGGGGTTCGATTCCCCCCTGGTCCATTCCACCCGCCCCAAATAAAATGATGCAAAAATGGAGTCAAAGCATAAAAGGACAATGGAAAAACTAGAGAAGATTAATGGAAAAAGAGAGGGAATGAAAGGATAAAATAAAGGGGACGGATTGGAGTGTACGATGGAGAAGGTTGGAGGGACAAGAGCGTGGCTTGGGCGGGCTCTTTGGGGCGAGGCTCTATTGGGTGGCTGCTGGGAAGCAAAGGAGCCCACATAGTGAAGGTTGCCGATGGCTGCTAATGTCTGGGGGGGAGGTGCGTGGCTGGCGGTGCATATGGTTAGATTGGAGGGAAGACAGGGCGTGGCTTGGGCGGGCTATTTGGAGTGAGGCTCTTTTAGGTAACTGCTGGGAAGCAAAGGAGCCCGCAGGGTGAAGGTTGCAGATGGGTGCTGATGCCTGGCGGTGAGAGAGGAGTGTAAAGTGTAAAGTGTAAGGTATGGAGTGAAGAGTGTTGAGTGTAAAGTGTAGTGTGTACAGTGTAGAGTGTAGAGTGTGGAGTGTAAAGTGTAGAGTGTAAAGTGTAGTGTGTAAAGTGTAGAGTGTGGAGTGTGGAGTGTAAAGTGTAAAGTGTAGAGTGTAAAGTGTAGAGGGTGGAGTGTGGAGTGAGGGGTGTACAGTGGAAAGTGAAAGGTGTGGAGTGTAGAGTGTAGAGTGCCAAGTGTAGAGTTTAAAGTGTAGAGCGTGGAGTGTAAGTGTAGAGTGCAAAGTGTAGTGTGTAAAGTGTAGAGTGTGGAGTGTGGAGCGTAAAGTGTAGAGTGTGGAGTGTGGAGTGTACAGTGTGGAGTGTAGAGTGTAAAGTGTGGAGTGCAGAGTGTAGAGTGTAAAGTGTAGAGTGTAAAGTGTAGAGTGTGGAGTGTAAAGTATGGAGTGTAGAGTGAAGAAGTGTAGTGTGTAAAGTGTAGAGTGTGCGGTGTGGAGTGTAAAGTGTAGAGTGTAAAGTCTAGTGTGTAAAGTGTAGAGTGTGGAGTGTGGAGTGTAAAGTGTAAAGTGTAGAGTGTAAAGTGTAGAGTGTGGAGTGTAAAGTGTGGAGTGTAAAGTGTGGAGTGCGGAGTGTAAAGTGTGCAGTGAGGAGTGAGGAGTGTAAAGTGTAAACTATGGAGTGTAGAGTGAAGAGTGTAGAGTGTAAAGTGTAGTGTGTAAAGTGTAGAGTGTGGAGTGTGGAGTGTTAAGTGTAGAGTATAAAGTGTAGTGTGTAAAGTATAGAGTGTGGAGTGTGGAGTGTAAAGTGTAGAGTGTAAAGTGTCGAGTGTGGCGTGTAAAGTGTGGAGTGCGGAGTTTAGAGTGTACTGTAACGTGTAAAGTGTAAAGTGTAGAGTGTGAAGTGTGGAGTGTGGAGCGTTTTGCTGTGTCTGTGTCTGTCTGTGTCTATGTCTGTCTCTGTATGGGAGGGAGGTTGCAGTTGGTTATACGAGGTTACAGGGAGGCATGGGAACAATTTTCTGCCATTTAGCGGTCGGCTATTGAATTTCTCTGGCCACACCCAACACAGCCTCACCATGCCGGCTCCTCCGCCTCTCCACCGATGCCCCCACCAACCCCCCGCCGCAATCCCTCCCATGCTCTCCACTCTCCTGTCCCCGTTCAAACTAGTCCCTGGCTTTCGTCCCCTCTTCTCAGGTATGTTACATGCATGCCCACCACTGGGCGGAGCCAGATTCGAATCAGCATGGACACATTTAGCTGCGAACCAGATAGCAGCTTAATGTGTTCAGAGCAACATGACCAACACTTGACCAACAGACCTTTGATTTACTCACTTTGGGTTCCCAGCACAACTTGAGACTGAATTGCCTTCCTATGTTGACCCGGAAACCCTGAAGGTTGCTATTTTGCTGATGTGGGCACATCTTTGGAGTGTCGCAACTATCTCCAGTCTGGCCTGCGCCCTTGTTTCCTACACAAACGCACATCTTCCTCGTGGGCAGTCTGTGTCTCAGCAGCAGTTCAATCAAAGAAGACACGCAGCTGATCAGATATATCATGATATTACGTATATATAATATCATGATATTACGGATATATGATTATATATATATATATTTATTATATATATATACATAAAGGTTTTGGCTGAGGAGTAGTTCCAGTCGTAAACCCTAGCGGGTACGCTCTCACACCCGCGGGCGAATTTTGCCATCGCCTTTCGAGATCTCTGTGCTGTTGCGGCGTGATCTGGTTCGCCCTGCGCCTTCAGCACTTTGGTTCTCTTGCTGTCCCGGCAGCCTAATCCCGGGTACACTGCGATTGACATCCTTTTGGACTTTGACTTGGCAATCGGGCCTCGCACTTTTTCCTGAGGTTTGTCATCATTTTTGCATTTGCCCTGGTGATCGGGCTGCACATTCTACGAGGACCTCCTTTTGTACATGCTTGCCTTGTTCCGCATTCTCTTCATTTTCTTCATTGTCCTTCTGCTGTTTGTGTTCCACGTGAACTACGGCGAATCCGACGTGGAGAAGAAGGGAACGCAGGCAACGTGCCATAGCCAGGTTTCGCTGGCATCTCTTTGTCAAGGGTCGCAGATCTCTCAACTGGGCCCAACTGGCAAACATCAAATCTACGCTACAGAGGCATCACTCAAAGGACCCTGTGTGGCTACGTCGTATTTCTGCTGCAATGTGGAAATCAAAAGATCCATGGAGGTGCCTGAATTGCTCCAAGCTGAATCGATACAACATCAATTGTTGTGGAGACTGCGGTGGACACTGGGAAGATTTCTTGGATCCCACATATGTGCCACCGAGTCAACAGCAGGGGCAACACCAAGCAACTTCTTCGACAGGGAAGTCATCATACAAGAATCGACAAGATCGTCAAAACTATGCCTACCTGAACTACACGGATCCCTGGTATGGCGAAGATTGGGACTATGCCAGCGACCGCGAAAGCAATCACAGTTCACGGTCACCGAGACAGAGGGCTCAACCACCTCGACAAAGACAGCCTCAATCGCAGACCAAGAAGCCGAAGCAGCTTCCACAACACAAAGGTGCACATCGACCCAAAGGACAAGGCAAGGGCAAAGGCAAGGGGAAGCCGGCCATCGAGCCTCCTCCATGGTCGTCTGTTGCACCGAAAGCCAAGACGGCACCGCCGACGGTGCCGACTCCTGCAGAGGCAAAGCTTCTCGAGATCGTGAATGTCCTGAAGAAGAAGGACGACCCAGAGCTTCAGAGCCTTGCAAAGGAAGCGGACGTCCTCAACAACAAGAATGCAACGTCCAAGTTGCATCGAGCTGTTGCGATTCATGGGGATGCGAAGACAGCCCTTTTGGAGGCGCGACAAGCCCGAGCCAATTTGCACGCCTCTTGGCGCCAATACTTGGACAGTGCTGTAGAGACATGGAAGTCCTTCATCGAGGACTTCAACAAGGAGGACAAGCGTTTAGAGGAGGAGATTGGCAAGACAGATGCTCACCTCAGTGCCGCTCAGGAAGCCCTCGACGAGGCCAAGAAAGCTGCAACTGCAGAAGAATTGAGCGATCAAGTGGAGACCATCGAGGACGAGGAGGAGTTGGACAGGACTGTGAAGTCCAGTGCAGTCATGAGGGATGGCCTCAACACCATGCTGAACGGCTTGGAACAGATTCGCGCCAAGACAGACGAGCTGGGCGACGACATCGGCAACAAGCGTCAGCGAACAGACGATGGCAGAGGGCAATCATCTGCCATGCAGCCTTTTGGTGGGGCCGGTCGCTGAGCCTTCGGGTTGGTGGCCCCTGGCCCGTTGATACATGCAGCTCCCTCATGAATTGGAACCACTCCATTCTTGGTGAGCCCACTTTCTTGAGCTCGTGGCAAGCGATTGATGACGCTTTGACCCTTTCCTACCAACTTGGGAGTTGGGATGCTAGGCCTCATACGTCTTCACCTTCGCCACTTCCGACTCCTAGAAGACGGCCTGCACAGAATCTGCCACCTCGAGTTCCACTTCGAGTTCACTTTCAAAATCAGGTTGAAGTTGCCTTCTTTCCACCGAATGAGCTCTGTGAATTTTTCAAGTACCACAGTGTCATCATGAGTCTCGATTCTTGAGACATGGACTCCTGCGGATGGCAAACCCTGGAGTTCAGAAAGGAGAAAGAAGAGCAGACCTGTGTATGAAACTTTTTCAAGAATTGAGCCTGAAGTTTTTGGCACTGCTTCTGACTCTCCTCGCTCATCAAGATCCTCTTCTTCCAGAAGGAGGAGTCCTGACATGCCTCCAAGTGGTCCGCCTGGGATTCCATGGCAACAAAGTATTTGGGAGATTTTGATGCGAGAAGGAAGACCTGACGTGGATGACGAAGATGCTCCAGTCGTTTTCCTCAACTCCTACTACTTGGATCATGTACGGCATCCGCACCAAGACCAATCTCGACCTTTGCGGTTCTCCTGGGATTTTCACAACTGGGAAGCTGACATAAGATTTGTCTGGGAAGACTTCATTGACCCTAACCTTGGTCTTGAAGTACATCTTGTACAACCGCAGCCACCTGCCATCACGGACAGTCGCATTGGCGCTACAATCATTGTACATCAGAACCCCATTGAACCTCAAGTTGCATGCCTCATCACTGCTGTTGTCATCTCGGACCCCACCACGAGAGTGCAAGAATCGGCGCACTCGGTTGGGCCTCATCTGCACCCTGATCGTGCTCTTCGTCTTGGCGGAGTTGATGATTTATGTGCCCTCCGTGATCGAGATGGACATGATTCTTGCTCTCTTCATGTGGGTTTTCGCCTTCTTCCTCGAGATCAAGCCATTCCCACTCATGATGGATTAGGCATCACCATCAGGGTTCCTTCACCCATGACTTTGGAAGAGAGCGAGCACAATCTTGCTGTCCGTGTGCAGCTTCAACAATCGCAACGACCTGCAAATGATTGGCATGATGATCCTCACCAAGAGCAACCGGAAAGTACACACCCAGCTGCGAGTGGCTTTGATCAGCCACCACCAGAAGATGCGACGTCCTTTATGGCCAGATCACTTTCCAGCTTGGCGTCACACGTGGGTAGCTCCAGTGTTTCTTCATCAACCTCAACTTCTTCAAGCTATGATACAATGTGCAGAGATGAGGTACGACGCTCCATTGTTTTCTGTCTTGATGGTCGGACCGCCCACATTGATGCTCCGTGGGATGATGCAGATAGACTCTGGGATATCTGTGCTCGAGTCCTGGACATTCAGGAGAATGACATCATGAGAGTACTTCATGTTGACTTTCGCCCTACAGATCTTGCCAATGAAGGTCTTGAATGTCTCCTTCTTCAAAGGCGACATGAAGAACCCACTGTCAATTTCCTTCGACTTTGTCTTCAGGACGTGAATTATGCTCCGGATCACCACGGTCCAAGGACCCGCATTGCACGCAAATCCACCTGGATTCCTCGACGCAGCAATCGTGCTTCAATCATTAGATTGGCGGGCTTTGAAGGACATTGTTATCATGAACCATGGCGTTGCAGTGTCTGGATCAATGGTGTCCTTTTTTCCGATGACATGGACGTCGTTGAGCTCAACAATGGCGATTATGTTGAAATTGACATTCCTTCTCATCCTGAAGAGTCTGCTGTGATTTGTGCTGACAATCAGGATGAGAGCCAGAGTGACATCCACAACCAAACCGATGCAGATGAAACCCCAGAGATTGAAGACATGAGCAGCATGCAGCTTGGAATCCTTCATGATGGACGACAATGCAAGCTTGACAACACCAGTGTTGTTGAGGGCCCAGACTATGTTGTTTCGCTTGTTCCTCCTGAAGCTCCTGGTCGTCCAGAACTTCAATTTGGTGAACATCTTGATTGTCTTGATGCGCTACACCATCTATGGTGGCTCCATTCTGCAGTTGAGATTGAAGAGGAGGGCAGAGTGCTCTATGTCTCTACGTGGTACACCGATGGAACCAGATGGCCATCGTGTGATGCTTCCAGGCCTGCTCGTCTCTTGAGTGACCCTGGCGCATGGGCTGACTGCATTGCTGAAGCATGGGACGATAGAGTTGACCCTGATTGTCCTCTCCACCTCTACCTCCTCACACCACAACCAAGAACTGACCTTTGGTCTCCAGTTGGCCAGCCGCATGTGCTCATTGTCCAGAATCCATTACCCGATCATAGAGGAGTTCACATTGCCACGCTTGACCCTCGCAGTACAGCCCTAGGCATCCCGGGTTGCATCAAAACTGTGCCAACGGCTTTGACTCGGTTTGGGCTACTTTCTGCGATTGATCTCCAACATGTCTGCCTTCCTGGACACGTGGACTGCATGATCTGGTGGGGAGAACATGAATTCCGTGATGGACATGTCTTTCCTGTTCGACATGGCTTTTCCTTTTTGGTCATCCGGAACCATTTGGCTGCTGTCGCCAGTTCCTCTCATCAACTTCCTGCTGTACCTCTTGTACCTGATGTTGAGCCTGATGAAGAAGAACCCTTGACTTTGCTGCAGACCAGAATGACCACACAGCGCAGTGTGCTACGGTTGGATGATCTCATCTCTGAGCCTGAGGCTCCAATGTATGTGCCCACTTTTCCCCTGCGTCTTGTAGCTGGTACTGCCATGCCTCCATTGCCCACTTACATTGAGTGCGCGCATCCGGGCACGGAGGAACAGATTCGTGATGAACTTTGGCATTGGGGGCATCATTGTGACGTTTATCGCTTTGGCCAGCATGACGTCGCTCTTTGTGTCCCATGTGGTTGGGCTGAGACTTTGTCCTACCACTACATGTTCTGCCATACGGACGTCACTGATTCTCATGGTGCGTTTTTGCACACCAGCATGCACATCATGGATGACAGAGAACTGATGAAACTCCTTTATGATCTTGGATACTGGCGTGCTGTGATTCTATCGTGTCAATTGATGCGGTGTGGCATTCGCATTGTGGCTTTTGAGAATGTTGAAGTACAGTTGCCAGTTCATGAGCCAAAGCATAGACCTACTCCTGGTTGGCCTTGTCCGCTCATCACAGCACCACCAGTCCATCGCCCTTTCCAAGCTCCTGAAGTTGTTGCTGAGGACGACTGTGTCATCAGGTTTGGCATCTCCCTGCGAGAAATCGAAGATTTCTTCAGCTCTGCAGAGGACATCTTGCTGCGAGATCCAACTGGCTATGAGTTTCCAAGCACCACCAAGGATGCTCTTTGTATGAGTGACACTGTACAACTTGAGGCCTTTGACCGCATTATCATCTATTCTGATGGTTCCTCTCATGCGATTGACAAGCACAAACCAGCTCTTTGGAATGCAGAGAAAGGTAGACCTGACACTTGGGCCTTTACAGTGCTGGGCGAGCGCCACTCTGGTTCAGACAAACATTCCATTGAGGTTCTCGGGTGGCTTGCACATGAGGTGCACTATGAAGCTGATAGCCCCCACTTCCTTGGAGCATGCTCCGTCGGCTCTGACATTGCCGAACGTGAAGCGATGACATGGGCAGGATTGTGGAGGTTGGCTCACAATGTGGCCACACCGACCCTTTTTCGAACTGATTCACAAATTTCTGCGCTACAAGCCACTGGCCAGATCGGCTGCAATGAGGATGGGCCTTCTTTCCAATGTTTTCGGGGTGTCTTCCAAGCCCTTGAAACAGCCCTACCTGGAGATGCACTTCAAGTTGAGCATATACCAGGACACTCAAACGAGCCCTTCAACGACATGGTTGATTGGCTAGCGAAAACTGAGCGACAGAAGAGCTTTTACTGCAAACGGCAGAAGCTTTCAATGCATGTTTGGCGCAGCATCCTTCCGCACTTCTGGACGCTCTTTAGCTCCATTGATGGCCTTCCACAGATGTGCACCGAAGGTTTGCATGCTGTTGCACCATCCTTGCCATCGGCAGTTACCACATCGAAAGTGGCTGAGAAGAACTCTGACGAGACGCACTTCATGCCACTCACTTTGCAATTGAGTCTTTGCACGGCCAACATTGCATCGATGTATAACGGTCCTTGGGGACATGCTGGTAAAACTGCCTATTTGAAGCAACAGTTTCTCGCCATGCGACTACTTTTCCTGGGCATTCAGGAAAGTAGGACACCAGAAACTTTCAGCTCAGCAGAAGGTGTTCTTAGAATTGGTGCTGGTCATGCCGCAGGTGGACTTTATGGAGTAGAGCTTTGGGCCAATCTCCTGGTTCCCTATGGCTATATTGGGCAACAAGCACTTTACTTCAAGCGGGCTGATTTTCAAGTTCTACATCGTGATCCCAGAATTTTGCTTGTTCGTGTTGACACAGCGTATGTGCATCTCGCCCTGCTCGTTGGCTATGCCCCGCAATCAGGACTTCCTCATGATATGAGAAGTGCTTGGTGGGAGCAATTGAGCCAGATCGCATCTTTGAAGGGCGTCCAGGATCACTTGTTTGTCTTCATTGATGCCAATGCGGACCCTGGAGAATGTGATCATCGACACGTACTGACCTCTGGCTTCAAGCACACACTCAATACCGACTTCTTGCGATCCTTCCTGGAGCACCACGACCTCTGTTTGCCTATCACCAGTGAGCGTCATCAGGGTAGTGTTGACACCTGGGTGAGTCCCTCAGGATTGCACACCAATTGCATTGACCATGTCATCATTCCATGTGGGTCGCTTGACTCCTGTACCTTTTCTGGGGTGATTCACGACTTTGATCTTGGCAACGGTTGCTTTGACCATCATGCTGTTGCACTTCAGCTTGACTGGCAAGAATGGGCCACTTCACGGCC